CTTTCGGCACTATTTCTGTATACGAACTATGTGTGCGAAAGTTCACACTCCTCCGTCCTCACAATTTTCATAAAGTTTTATTCACTTATTAATATAATCAAGCAATAATTTTAATTAAAAATCATGAAATAATTTTATGTTTCTTGCAATAGTGATCGTACTGCCTCTATAGGCAAACAAAAACCCTGCCATCGTAAATAAATTTCATGATTTACCAGAAAAAAGATCTGCGTCTTGGAATCAAATGACCTCTTATTTACACAGATAAGATGCGGTCATACGATGTTTTGTTTATAATTAAATGTAGATAGATGTGATTAAATAATTGGTAATGATTTTTATTTCAACCAATTTTATTATTATATCTATATGTTTGCTCATGTCTTATCTAATATAGATACAGAACCCTTTGGTGTAATTTTATCATATATAACAAAGCACAATCCAGTGTTCGTACATCTTTCTAATACTATGTATGCGAAAATTTGTTAGAATGAATCGATGGACGTTTGTTGCTCTTTCACGATAAAGGACTTAATGTTGTATGTTGATGAAACTTTACTGTAATATATTTTATATATTAGAATTTCCATTCAATGCTAATGGTCACGATATTCACCTCATATATATTTAAAAATGAATCTGAATTTCTTTAATATACAAGCTCATTTGAAAAGAATAAAAGCTGAGTTTCTTCTTAGTTCTTCATAGCTAGAATGCACACCGTCAACTCGGTGTGCATTCTAGCTAGATCTAGGTAGATTTGACATATCATAAGAGTCCGTAATAGACCTACGTGAATAAAAAAATTGATTTGATTTGAATAACTTCATACATAAAAATTCTACACTAATAACATTCTATTATTGTAAATTGGGTGAAATATATGTAAATAAACTTCGCATAAGTGAAATACGAGTACAATAATAAAATGTAAATAGTAATTAACAAAAGGCCATTTGTGTATAAACAGCATTTAATAGTTAGAAAACAAAAAGGCATTATTTAGTGTATATTAATTAGTGGTAATTAGTCACCAGAGAGATTTATTTTGTTTACAATAAAAAAAATAATCAGAACGTACAAACCATGACGTACATCAATTCATTTAAGAATTACTATGCCACAGTCAGGCTCATCAAACTTAGCACCCACATTTTACGGCAGGGATTAAAAAATAGAATTATAAAATGGAAACTTAATTTAGTCATTGGATTGGGAATTTTCTATTTACGTCTGTTGAAAATAAATTTGTATTTTTGTAGATGTGTTTTTACAGTTCTTTATTATATTTACATTATTATGTGGTTTTCCTTATATATATATATCATTAAATATTTTGATTAAATGTAATATTGACTATATGACTAAGTTATGAAATTAAATTATAAGAATATAATAGCTGTTATATGTTCAAAATAATAACAATGATATCAACATATTCCTCCAGCAAATAATTAAGTAATAAATTAATAATCACTAAGGAGAAAATATAAAATGCTGGACATTGAATAATTAATTATATCAGAAGATGGATATTATAACTTGGAGTTGAAATACTTTTACTTAACGTATCAATAGAACTGACTGTTGTCTGAATCTTTGACTATTGGTCTTGTAGTCCATTGGCTTATGCTTAAGTTTATGTTTTGTAACTTATCGCCGTCTCTCCAATGAATTTCATTTGTTATCGATGTTTTCATCATCGGAGATGGCTGTTACTTATTCAATAAAAATTGACACATATTTTTAAGTTGCTATATCGACCCCACTACCACTACTAAGTTAGAATAATAAACCACTGTGATACGCTGTTCTCTACATTAACATCTTTAACTATACAAAAGAATACTATATTTTTGTCTAGATTCAATGGACAAGAATAGGCAAGAAAGGAAAAGCAGTTGTTGTCCAATTAAAATCTATATTATAACTCGTCTAACCCGTATAGTATAACCCGTCTCGATTTCGCATGAATGTGTTATAAATTTTTGAATTTCTCAGCTTGTTCCTTGCTCTTGAATCATTCTATCTATTGTTAAAAACTTCATTAAAATCCGTAGCGTAATTTAAAATATATAAGCGAATAGACAGCGGCGGCGACTTTGTTGTATACTGTGTAAAGAAGAGTACTTATTATTTTATTATCATTATTATAACAACTTGTTATTCTAAAATGTGTTCTGAAAGTATGTCGCTCTGTTGACGGCAATTAGTAAGATTGCCACTTACAGTTATTATAAAGTTACGCCCTCTTCAGTTAATGGGGAGGTTACACTGAAATCCTCAATAAAATTACCCATAGCACAGATAAGATAATACTGTACTGGCATCTAGGATTGGAACAAAATAATATCTACCTACCTTTGAAACTGTATAACCAATTTTTAACACGTTACTTTCTGTTACATACCTTGTAACCACTTTTTAAGAATCATTGTATATAGTCATAATTTTGAATATATCCGATTTTATCGATTACATGACGTGGTGACATGGTGGCTCTATTATACAACTTAGTGTTCATTACTCTGGATATTTTACGTACTTTCCTAATATAGAGACGCTGTTAGAATTTTATAATGAAGTAACATGGTATTTTAGACGAAGTACCTACTGTATTTAAAAAGATGACGTATTCGAAATAATACGTCACATTTTACTTCCGGTCTACCCAACGAGAAACTTAACTAGAATGTGTTTTTACATTATTACTTCCATTCAATCCATTTACTATATAGTTCTTGTTAATATTATAAACATGACAGTGAGTTTGTCTGGTACCACAAGTCATGTAAACATCTCAATTATTATTAAATATATAGTATTTATGATGTAGAAAAATATATGATAAGATTCCAAGAACTCATATATTGTATTATATATTAGAGTCATGTTATAATTATGATGCATAACTTATTTTTCTAACTTAGAAAATACAATTCAAGAATCTCAAGTACTGAAAATGATAATTAAGGTGTCATTTTATTTGTTATAGGGAAGACCACTCCTTATCTTTAGGTACAGGATTATTCCGACTTATAGAGCATGTTTTCATCTTATACTTAACAATGTTATGTATTACTTAACTGAAAACCAGTGGTTTGTCTTCCAGATAAAACTATTACTCAGTTGCTACATTTTTACATCACTGTGTAAGTTACACACACATGTATAAAGAAAGAGGAAAGAAGGATCTGTATACAATATTATATTGTATGTGATTCTTCTTTTATATACAATCTGTTTATTTTTTATACTGTGTTGTATATGTATCTGTTTGATATGAATATAGTGTTGAATTATTGCTTAAAATTTTAGAGATTTCCTCATTCTTATGCTTTAATAAACTAAAAATTGGACACGACTATTTGACAGATAAAATGTACCTAACTAAATTAAGTAATTCCTCTTATGTTTAATGGCTTCACGACACTGTTGACGTGCATAAAGTAAATATCTATCTACCTCACTGGTTTATACTCTGATTAAATAACTGTCCGTGGTAAATTTTCTGCAAAGTCGTCTAAATCGGCACATCTGTGCCACCTATTTCAGCCGCCAAGCAGCAGTTTTTCAGTTGAGGAGTATGAGGTACTGAAATTATGGGACGTGTATGAAATATAACGACGTATTTCCTTGTACGAGTATATACCTAGCCGATAGCTATCACTTACCATCAGCTGAGCAATCAGTTAATTTATAATTCCAGTTACGTAAAAAATAAAACCATAAATAAATTGTTACTCTGTAAAATATGTTATATAGACTAGTTAATTTCCTTTTGAGTACACAAGTTCATTGGAACACCAACATTATCACTGAATAACAAATACAATGTACTACTTTTTATTAATTGATGTGTCAATCCCGTGATCGTACACAGTACACACAAACGAACTCTCGGGTAATTACCAGTAGGATATAATCTGATAGATTTCGTAATAAATGGTAAGTAATAACATGTACTAATGTATGACACATTAATTTATTATATTTTACACGCTTTGCCATTCCTTATGGCTCAGATGTTATGTCTCTTATCCTGTAATTTCACTCCCTGCACCCTACAACCGAAACACCTTATAAGTTCAGTGGCTGAAATATAGCGAGGCTGAGATATCTATGCCTATATTATATATAATTTTAAACTAAAAAGTCTATATAACGACTTTTTAGTTTAAAATTAATATATATACTAACTACTAACTAATCTAAAGTAACTAACTAATAAAAAGTGAAGAAAGATATCTGCAAAGTTTGTTGATATAATTTACTTTAAAAAATAAGTAGTATTACTACGATGTCATATAGGTATAGAAATATTAGTTTAAACCAGCGATTTTGTTTGCGTATCTTAAGTCATATTGTTGTAACAATATACTCACACAGCGCCATCTAGTCCCAAGCTATGAGTTTTTGTTATGTGTATTAGATAACTAATATAAATACATATGTAGATACTTTTTTTGTGTAAATACAATATACATAGAGAACATCCAGACAGATACAAACAATTATATTCAAGAATACAAATGTTTGTACTTCGGAATCGAACCTACGATCATCGGAAGTAAGTCGGTGTGCCAAACTGTTAAATCTTATAGGCCTACATATTAATAGAGTATGCATTACATTAATGTATCTGTGTGTAATGTGCTACGACGTAGCTAAAATGTTGTAATTGTTATAATTGTCTACAATAAGTTTAATATGTTAACGACGCCTAAATTATGTGAGAAGTTTCGAATACCAATTCTTATTCTTCACACATGTCGAATAAAGGAGGATGAAATTTTCATAATGATGACCTACCTCTTTTTAATACGCACAAGAATTTATAAGTGACGTCATTTATAAATTCGAAAGATTTAGAATTTTGTACCTTCGGATGATTAAATTTTAAAAAGGAATCCTTTGTGAATGTTGGAAAAATAGTGTACATCAAAATTTAAAAGTAGAATATGTATTTTTTATTTTACAATGAATCAGGTACTTACAGAAATAATACTTCTTATCTGATGGTCTGCCCCAACACAAAACTGACCACTGGTTTTTCACCGCGGAACACGTAAAGTTGACCGTGCCGCACAGAGCACACCCGGGTATATTAGCTAGTATAGTGTCCTCCCTGATCAGTGTCTTCCCATGTGGCGAAACGATGACATTTTCCTGATTCTCCTTTGTAGTCATTAAAGGCGTAGACGCCACATTTTCAGGATTCGTACTCATCGCGGGAATCGATTATATTTTTCGATTAACCGACTCTCATGAGCACGGAAGTGCTCTGTTTACAGCGGTTGGCGGGCAACTGATATCTCTAGCGGTCATAGGGTACTGTGCAGCAATCAGATAGATATGTGTGTATTGGTACTATTTTTTTTAAGTAAACTGTTATCAAGTTGACAGTGTCTTCCAGCCACTCTTAGTTAATGAGATTATAGAGTTGAAAGTATCGATAATTTTAATGATATCGATATTCAATCAATTTAATATTATTTGTTGTATATATTGTATAAATAAAAATAAAATAATAATATATTGTATTTATTGTGTGGTTATATAGTTTCTAAACAAGCGTAGTTTTAATTATGCGTTTTAGATTAAATGTGGAATGGTTTATAATATGTAAAATTTTCATACAACTATCAACAACTGGTACATCCTATCATACTTACTTTCTATGGTCGCAAGTTCGATTCTCGATACAAACATTTGTATTCACGAAGATAATTGTTCATATTTTTATGTATTCACAAAAAACATCTAAGTATTTCTATCAGTTGTTTAGTATCTATTGAGTACAATCTCTCCTCTCTCAAATCTAAGCTGTTTGGAACAAAGTGGCGCTGTGTGAATTGTGCGTGGGTAATTATTATTTAGTGTGTAAATACAATACCGAAGTTACATCACAGTAAGGAGTGAATATGAATGAATTTCATAGATTTTTAATATTCACTCAAATCGTGATAGATTTATAAATTTAAAACTAGTGGAGATTTATAGTATCATAAAATAATATAATTTATCGATATTCGAATCACTATTTTCTGCGTAAATTGGTACCATTGATACTATGTTAATTTCTTGAATGTATATGTAAGTTGACTATAGTTTAATGTAGCGAAATTTTCGGGATTAGGGTTTCTATAATCCTATAAACTACATTGTTAGCTATTAATAATAACCGTAATTACGCTCACTTCTTAGGATATTACCAAAATGCTTAAAAATATTGTCTCCCTAAAAGTATTATATTTCTCCCTTCAGATCAATATAGGTATACATACATTGAAACTTCTAAATATGTTGTAATAGCAAATAAGTTATGCCTCCGTGTCTGTGCGTGATCCTCAGCATCCAACTGAATCACTTCTAACAAGAATTTCCTAAATGGGTGCAGTACCTACCACGAATGTTACTTTCCACATAACAAAATCCGTATACTCTTTAAAATATTAGTAGGTACCTATAATAGATATCATAACCAGTGTACTATTCTGAAGGGTCTCCTATTTATTATGGCTACCACGCCCGATATGAATAAATAAAAAAGGCGCTCCGTCTCTCTATCAAAGAAAATATATATGATACTAGCTTTTGCCCGCGTCTTCGCTCGCGTTAATTTATCCCCTTAGGGGTGGAATTTAAATCAAAATCCTTTCTATGGGGATGCCTATGTCATAGTGCTTTATGCATGCAAAATATTTGCCCGATCGGTTTAAAATTGACAAAGTTTCATCCCCTATTTTATCCCTTTGGGGGTAGAATTAATCAAAATCCTTTCTTAGCGGATGCCTACGTCATAACATCTACCTGCATGCCAAATTTCATTTTCCCGATCCGTCCAGTGGTTTGGGGTGTGCGTTGATAGATCACTATGTCAGTTACCTTTGAGTTATATATATTTAGTTAATAATTAACAGAATTCTGACAATTAACTATAAATATTTCACATAAACTATGTTGTTGTTTGTATGTGTTACTTAAACAATTTTATATGAGCATTTCTTAATTTGATTAATTTGTTTATTAAAGAAAATTTTATCTGTTTTTCTTTGACTGGTGTATTATACCCTTTAGGACTACCCTGTAACCCTGTAACACTGTCGTCACATGATCACGTGATGCCTGTGTTATTGTTATTGTAAACAGGTGACGATTGCCTATTACCATCATGCCTGACAGCCTGTTTGCCATTCCAAATACATAAAAAAAGTATATATACACTTAAATCAATAAGCGACTTATAATTTACATATTTTGCAACATTATTTCATATTATATTATATTACAACACAGCAGGTAGTAAATTAAAATTATATCAAACAATAGATAATTGGTTAATAATTTCATTTGTATATAATTATTTACTTTCATAACAAATATAAATTGTTATACTTAGTAGGTAGGTACATGTATTACGAAATTAATAAATCTAAATTATATGTACGGACATATATATATATATATAGAAATTAGTATAAATGTATATATGTTAATGTGTATAATTAATAATAATCATGGGAACTTACCACGTTTTATTTTTATAGAGTTCCCAATAATTAATTAATTAAAACAAAATGTATTAAATTACGTGAAGATACTGTGAGTATAGTTTGCCGAGATGAATATAGAGCGAATTGATTAGTATTTTTTTTATACCACACGGGGACAAACGAAATTGCGGCTCACCTGGTGGTAATTGATTACCGCCGCCCTTGAGCACCCTCAACACCAAGGGAATTGCAAGTGCGTCGTCGGCCTTTTAAAAAGGAATAAGCTCTTGTCTTGAAGGATTCAATATCGTATCGGTTCGGAAATACCATTGCTAGAAGGTTATACACAATGGACCGCCGTTCGTCCAAATGATCAGGACAGTAGCAACAAACGAAGACGTGTGAAGGTAGACGAATGTGTCTACCCATAAAAGATTTTGTATGTGATCATGGCGGTACTCGATATCGGCAACTCAATAAAAAAGGTGGTGAAATCCCGTGACTTTTACCAATTATACTTATAAAAAATAATGTTATATTTATGTATATCTTTTACACAAACGATCTATTGCGCGCGGTTTTTTCTGCTTTCTTTGATACAGATAAAACAGCGATACGCAAATTGTTTTATCTAAGTCGAATATCTATTTCACTCTATAATGGTGACTATGGAAATAGTTGTTTATTATCATGTAAAGGTGATGACCTCTGGTGTGATGATAGTCTAGTTTGTCTACTTAGTACAGACATACATAGGTCTACAAATACATACCGAACTATGACCATATACGTACTCATTACGTCAAAGAATTTTATCTGTCAGCATAATTTGAATTTCGAAGAAGACCGGATGAAGTAGTGACAATTATTGCGAAAGACGAAAACAAAGAACATTTATAAAGTTTAAGTAAGATTCGCCCAGGCTTCGCATAGGTGTTTCAATTCATTTATATAAATATTTATCGAATTATAGATATATAAAAAAAATAGTATCCTAGTATTCATGACACAAGCTCTGCTTAGGTTAGAATTAGATGACGCTGAGTGAATTGTCTGTGGTTGTAACTATTGTTATTTCCCCATATCACAGCCAAGCTGGTGATTAGTACCGAGAACAGGCCACATAAAATCTCAATGTAATAGCAAATAAGCAGACGAACGACTTCATATAGGTAATGTGCTAACTGTCCGCTATATATGTAAGTATATGAACAGCATAACGAACATATCAAAACTATTGTAACGTCCTTGATATGTCATGCGTTGCCACTTTTGAGAACAAACGTGTTATGCCTCAGCGACCCATAATTTACCATATAATATTTTTTTCAACCATAATACAGTTTACAAATTGGCAGAAATTGGTTAGATTCTAGTCCCACAGTAAGCAGAGCTTGTGCTATGGCTACTAAACAACTGATATAAATACTTAGATATTTATTCTTTTTGTAAATACATACAAATAAATATACTTATGAATACAAATGATTGCATCGTGCGAGGAATCGTACCCGCGGCCATCGGAAGTAAAGCCGTGTGCTAAACCGCTAGACCATCGTGGCTGTCGCACAAAAAACTAGACTATAATGAGAGACAGTGATAAACCCTCTAAAAAGCCCGCGGTTACCTTAGCTATATCCTGCGAAATGTGGGCATGTCACAGCAGCATGTCATGTGTTACGCATTTACCACAATCGACAGTTTATAAGGCCCTGACTGGGGGAAGATCCTTAGTATATATAATGTTGTGTTATCTGTGGTAACATGGACTAATATTCCCATTACTAGTAGTGTACAATGTCAGGTTGACCTCCACGCAGTTCCCTTTGGAAACTATCATGATAAATTCATGGTGATTTTGCCACGATGGGCTGACTGAGCTGACCTCATATTCATTTTATTATCCCCTACTGCCCCGCCAGCGTAAACCGTTAGCGCAGGCCGGTGCACCATTCCTTTATCGTTCATTACCAAAAAAATGTCCCTGACCCCATCTGGGATAATAGTCATTTTGAAATAAAACACGCAATATACTCATTATTAATTTTATTTGACATCAGTTCACAATATCGCACCTGCCATTATGTAATCTATTTCGTTGACTTGAGCATTTTACTATGATCCACTTTCCCTTCGTGCTATTAAATAATTACTTTCTAAGTGTTTAAAATACCTATCTATTTACATGAACATCCGCCATTACACTATTGGGGCTTCAAATAAAAAAAAACATACCATAGACTGGTACTAAGTAATTAGTGAACAATATTTTAACAATAATTTACTCCTACATTCTTACCGTTACATTTAACAAATTTATAGTTTAAATATACTTTAATTAAAACATAGTAATTTAAATGCAACATTTAATATTTAATATCATAGATCAAAATTAAAATTTCGATCTTAAAAAGTCAGTCGAATAAAAATACCTTTTCTAAACTACCTAACATCTTAAATATACATAATTATCTATTACACAATCTAAATAAATTAACTATAATAAATATCGATACAGAAAATTGTCTAACATGAGTAAAATGTAATTGTGTCATGCTTTTCTAATTGAAAAACATTGACAAAGAAGTAATTTTGAAACCGTAAGCTAATTAAGTGTCTAAATTTATTTATACACAGTGATGAGTTGATGAGTTTGAGTAAATGATCTTTATGACTTCTATATATTTCTATCAGTATACAAATATAATTATTCAATCATCAGGTGAGCCGCAACTGGTTTGTCATTTCAATTACATATTAAATGAAATATCAGTGGCGTAATGTGGGAGATGCATTACCAGTACCAAGACGAGGAACGAGCAAATTTTAATGTAATACACGGAAAAGTGTTTTGTTTTATTAATGGAAAAAAAATAATGTACATATACATAACTAAGCTGCTTTATTCGTTTTGTGTGGCTAATAATTAAAACTAGTGGTTGCCCAATGGTTCAAATTCAACCATAATTACCTAATTTAAATTACTTATATGTTTGAACGTTATTAAGGTTATATTTAAAAAGACTGTAGTGTGTGTGTCAAATGTATAAAATACATGTAATGATTTGTTTATTGAATTAATGTAATTATTGTGTACAATTAAAAAAAAGTATTCTGTGTACGAAATTTCATACTTTTCGTACAAAGTCGTTACATACAATTTTCGTAAAGAGGGATGCAGTTTTGTTTTATGTATGAATATATAGACTGAGTGGGCTAAAACCCCAGTTAAGAATGACCACGCTACGCCACTGTTTATTCTTAAAATACCTATAATTAAAATACATATGTAAAGTCCTAAAGTATTAAGTTCGCTGTAGTATGGTGCGGGTGACAGTTACTAATTTTACATTTAACAGTTGCTACATTTAAGTTAATACAGTTATTAATTTAATATATTACGAATGTGGTACAGCCGAAATAGTAAGTAATAATATGTGAATCGCGGCAACTTTTGAGTGAAACGAAACGTTAATGAAACTCACCCGCACCATGCTACAGCGCACGTGGTATAATAAAATGACGGGAAATATTAATGAGTGATGGTAGGGGATGAAGGTCGCTGAGCGACAGCGACGTGTGCGTCGAGTCCGTCGGACGCTCGCGAGTGTCGCCGGAGCCACGGCCCACCGCGGTCTGTGGAAGTTCATTTTTAAATATTTATTGTCTACTGCTGAATAGCTAATTCACCCCTCCTTCCCACGGGTGTACATGTATTATATATATAAACCTTCCTTTTGAATCACTCTATCTATTAAAAAAATGGCTTCAAATTCCGTTGCGTAGTTTTAAAGATTTAAGCATATATAGGGACGGACAGAAAGCGACAGCGACATCGTTTTATACTATGTAGTGGTGGTGACCATCTTAGTTTTAGTACAAGCAAAATATTTATATAACATCTACAACCAAACTTCAAATCCTAGAAGACTCGACAGAAACAAGAGCAATAATTTATTTTATACTAAAAAGTAGGTATATATCAATACTGTAGTGCCGTAAAACCATAAGTTTTAGTACAAACTATCAAAGTCTATTATTATATATTAAATCTACTATTATTATATTCGAAGACTTAAGAGAAAAAGAATGAAAATTTATTTAAAATTAAATACAGTAACAAAAAAATTACACACGATATACGTTGTTGTCATAAAAAAGACAACCGGGACTAATGAATTGAAGAACAAAGCCACTGGCTCACGGGCTATACCATGAACAATTCACACAACGCCATCTAGACCCAAGCAAACTCGAGGTCGTGTTATGGACGCAGATATTAATATGTGGTACTAGACAACTGATAGAAATACTAATATACATTTATTAAGTAAATATTTAAATCATGCTAGATATCTAACACGCGACCATCAAAAGTTAAATAAAAATGCGGTTATATTTGCTATGGTTTAAGAGATGATACAAACGTCAGAATTAAAATTCTTATTAATTAATTAAAGTATTTTTTTAATATGTATCTATCTATCTATCTATTGACTAGACAAACTTTTAATTACAGATAACAATATTTATTATTTGTATATGTAAATATATTTTATTTAAATGATAATATGATGAATATATTTTTTATCATTTAACAAGTTATATTAACATGAATTTAAATTTGCACGCTCAAAATGCAGCTGAATATGGAACTGTAAATTAATTTGTAAGAACAATGTAACCTATTCAAAGCAAATAAATAAATAAATAAATCATCAATATACGTTGGCGGGGCACCAGTAGAGGTTAATAGGGTGAGTGTGGTTGTAGTCATTTTAGGCCACAATAAGCCTGTATACTATACGGGACACGGCTGTTGGGCTTACGAACACAGATTAGACTATTTGCTTTTCACAAAATTGCAATAGCATATACTGGTGGTCACGCTATTTTCCTGAATTTGAATTTAAAAATAAATCTATATTATTGTAAACATGTACATATATTTTAAAAGAATACGAGCTGAGTTTTTATCAGCACTTCTCATCTCGAAAGCATTCCGAACTGACGGTAGATTTGACATATCATAAGAGATCTATCTGTAATAGATCTAGGTACATGAATAAAGATATTTTAATTTGATTGAATACTCTCTTGATAACTAAATATCTGCTAACAAGTAACGACAAATGCAGACGTCGATTTGTAAATGTATTAATGATAAGCAAATACGTAATGACAGCTAATATAAATAACAACATGACACGTGGAAGGAGAGTCAGCTTGGCACGTGTACTATAATATGTGTACGAGTATATATGTAATATAAACATTGTTAACAAATTAATTAATATATTATTAGTAGTATAAATATTGACGGCCTCGGTGATCTGGTTTAGCACACTGCTTTACTTCCGATGGTTGCGGGTTCGATTAGCTAGCTTAATTTTGTGTTATAGGTACTAAATAACTGATACAAATACATAGATATTGTTTTCATAAATACATACATATCATATAAAACACCCGGACCGATACATTCATACTCATGAATACAAATATTGGTACCGTGCGAGGAATCGAACTCGCGACCAAGGAGCGCATCGTGAATTTATGGGGCCCTGAGTTAAATCTACTTAGGAGCTTATCTAATTATATTACTCAACTAAAAAAATTTCACTGACTAAAAACAAGCAACCTGAAACTCCCCGTTCTTTTCGATAGAGGCGCACTTGTATGAGTTAATTGATCTCAGGGTTGCCAACCTTATGATAGGTTTATTAACATTCTAGATATTTTTTATATTCTAAATATAGTTTCAGTGGGAACTCGGGGCCCTTTGTATCCTCCAGCCTAGGAGGGCTGCAGCCCAAAAAGCCCTTAGCCCGCCCCTGCCCGCGACTATCGGAAGTAAAGCGGTGTAAAGCTAAACCGCTAGACCACCGAGGCCGTCAAAGTATTCTTGTAGTATGTATCTTATGTATTCTTACCGCCACTTTCAGTTTTCTGTGGAATCAGTTGTCTGTCTGTGGATAATCTCCTTCTGCCGTGTTCGTATTTGGCTTCCTTGGCCAGCAATGCTTCCCGTTGCATCTGCGTCCGCAGCTCACTCGGCACATCCGGTATGAACAGTTGCATCAGTCCAGTCAAACCAAACACCACATGCTGGAAAAATTATAATGCATTTTTACAGATTCAAAGTTATATATTTTATGGTCGAATTGTTTTGTTCAGAGAACAAAACAATGATTTTCAACTTCAGCCCATTTGAGGGTACGTGAATTTACTGAATTGAATTTATATTTTAATTCATTTTTAATGTTGTAATTAGTTAAAAGCAATGTGTTACGCGCAAATGGTATGTGTCTATAATATTTACCTCAAAAACGACTACAAAAGCTAGTCGTGCGGCGAACACGTGCCAGTAGTGGGGAGAAAGTCCGTAAGGGTCGTTGTGGTTGGGGGGATTTCTGTAGCCCCTGTAGGCACACGTGGGCGGGTCGTATTCCTTCTCATCAGCACCCCAATCGGCTTGATAATCCGATGTATTGAACACTGTACATACATCAAGTCGAAGTCCTCAAATGGATCATTAAAAACAAAACAATTTATCTATGTTTATTGTTTAACAATTTATATATTATCATTTATCTATGCTACCTCTGCTTTATAGTTTTTAAGTTTGATTTAGTTCTTAAAGCATTTATGATTTGAAAACAAAGTGTGGAAAGTTTCATAAATTATAATAGTTTTCATTTTATTGGAGTTGGCCTATATAAATATACGAGTACATATATGCGGACAAAATCTTCAAAACAATTCTATACAAATAATTAATTGTAAATACCGTACTAAAATATTGTTACATAGATTCATACAAAAATAATTTTGTTCCTAGTGACGCAAGTCTGTGAATGTGAATTACTCTGTGGAATCGAAATTTAAATTGTTCAAAATATACCATCGTAAGCACAGATTATTATATTAGAGTCCGTTAGCGTCTTCCCGCGCTTTTACTTCCCCTCCCTTACCTATAGTACTGAATTGACCGTACGCCGGTCAAGACGCGCGCGCGCCTTTATTGTGAATTAAAATAAATTAGAACTGTGAAACTGGAAAGCTAGCGAAGATATCTTCGAGACCCTGAAGCCCAAGAAATCCGCAGAACCATACAGGTACGTGACGCTGACGCTTCCACTCATTTTTCACTATATATACAGAGAGTAAATTCCCCAAAATTTTGGTAGCAGAGTAGTTTCCCTAACAAAATTAACATAAAATGCAAAGTTCGAACAATAATCTTCGTGGCCAGAAGAAAAGAGAAAAAAAGTTCGCACAATGTCTTCCGAATTCCAAATTCAAATTTTCAAAATTTTTCGTAGTAGGTCATATAAATATTTTCTTTTTAAACTTACATGAGAGAGAATGATAGATGTAACCTGCCAGCGTGTTGTCCGGGGAGTATACGTATTTGTACACCATGCGCGGTATGAAGTCACTCGTGTATGCGATTACAAAAGCCTGGAATACAAATATTATATTTACATAAATAAATCGTGATGAGGAGAGAATCAGTTTATCTGTTTGTGTGTTAAGCATGTGTTGTTTGTGAATTACGATGAAAATTTCACAGAACATGTTTTTAAACGTCTATCAACATACAGGTTAAAGAAATCATAGAAATCACAGATAACATAATATTACAAACATAGCTTTTATTTCCAATTACATCTATACATATAAATAAAATTGAAATGTCTGTTTGTACGTTTTTTACTACATGAATATGAATATAAGTAAAATAATTTTTTTTACAATTTTTACTGTCTGTTTGTTCTGCCTAATCTCTGAAATGGCTGGACCGATTTTGACGGGACTTTTTTTGGCAGGTAGCTGTTATAATAAGGAATAAATTAGACTTTTATTTTAGAAAAATAAAGTAAATTCCACGCGGACGAAGTCGCGGGAACAGCTAGTTTTTAATAAATAATTAAATAATGTATGGCGTTGAATAAATGTTTTATTTATTTTTTAGTTGGATTAGTATCAATAAATAGCATCTACAATTGTTTACACGGACGATGTCGCGAGAACCACAAGTAAAAAAATATTTCATCACTTTATAGTCCAGTATCGAGAATCGAATCTACAGCCATCAGACATAAAGCGATATGATAGACCACCAGATGACTAGGTAGTTGTAAAGTTTAATTGATGTTTACAATGCAGCGAAATAAAAATTAATAAAAAATATTTAACACATATTTCGATAATACTTACGTTAGATACAACAGCAGCGTAGGTGATGCCTTGCAGTATACCATACCTGTAATAGATTTGCAATTCTAATGTCACACGTTTATAATTGAAACGTAGTATTGTAAAAAATAATTTTCATAAAATAGCCCTATCCCCTTATATACACGCACTAGGGGGTGGGGGTAGCATACCCTAGGGGGTAAAGGTAGCATTCCTTATGAGGTGAAAGTAGCACCATTAAGAATATATTATTATTATAATAATTAATATAATCCCTTAGAATCTGTAAGCAGCACCCTAGGGGCTGACAGTAGCATCCATAGGGGGTGGAGGTTAGATTTCTTTCTTCGAGATATGTAATGTTCTTAAAACTAACTTGCAAGCTGTTTTTGTTTTTTTTATTCAGTTTTAGATACTTATTATAACTTACCATGCTCCTATGTCCTCTACCCTTTCAGCTAGAGGGCGTCTGGCTTGTGTCACCATTTTGTACGCGTCCAGTCTGATCTCCGCAATGTTATTGAGTAGAGCAAACAGTGGCGCCAATGGAAATGCTGCCACGAATAATGTTACGAAACCGTATTGGAGAACTGGGAAAGATTTCAAAACGAAAAATCATAATCGAGAACAATCCACGGATCATAAGCAGAGCTCGTACTAAGATATCTGATATAAATACATAGATTTTTTTTGTAAATACATAGAAAACGCCCATACAAACAATCATACTCAAGAATACAAATGTTTGCACCGCGTGAGGAATCGAACCCAATACTATCGGAAGTAAAGAGAGGGCATCGTAATATGCTACCATAAAAAAGGATTTAGCATATTGCTGCCGCCGAAGCTACTGAGCTAACAGATTTTTATAACAAGTCAACTATTTAGTTCAATGTGTGTGTTTGTGAAAATGTCTACTTACTCATTTCCAGGTATTCATCAAACAAAGCGAGCCGCCCGGGATCTTGGAGGTGATAGTCTTGTTCCCATGCCATGTCTGGTTTGTTCTTATCCCTTGTAACAGCGCGATGAGATCTCTGTCTCCACCAATTGTGGAATTTCCTGTAATAAATTAATATGCCTATTGTATTGCCTAAATCAAATAGAAGAAATTTAACTATTTTAACCATTTATACATATATATGATTACAGAGATCTTAGTACGGAGGAACTATAATATAATGCATAGTAACATATGACCATGGTTCTAGGCCGTCAGTCCGTCCGATCGATCCCCCGTCCAATTCATACGGAGATCGAAGTTACAATGGCTTGAACCGAGGTTGGAACTATTAGCGGTGCCCTCAGACAAAAGTCGTATCTATCAGGCAGAAGTTGATCTACAGCCACTCCACAAATCTTTCCCCGAATTTGGAGTGCCATCTGCACTTGACCTCCCTATCGTTCAGTGAAACTGTAGTCAGCTGCGGCCAACAGCACTATTTGCCATTTCAATAACATAAATAAATAATTCATGACAATTGACTACTTTCACCAAGAAACTCATCAAATTATCGCAAACGCACATTTAATGCGTCTATAAAATAGATCACGGGACGGTGCAAATTATATATATGAAAAAGAAATTTCAATGTTCTTTATCTAGCTTTGGTTCTAGACAGAAGTTGTTTAATCTCACAAACACCGTCTATCGCTTTTGATTTATTTGATTTATTACACTGTTTACGACCCTGTACAAATATTCCATTGTTAGCAATATCATCCTTATTTCCAGAAACGACCATTTTAACTCCGCGTGGGTGATACATAGCGCATTCACGGGACAAGATGGAGTCAGTCAGAAAATTGAAACATAAACGTAAGTACTATTTTTACTTGTCGCGTTTGGTAGAACGCACATTACTTAAGACGTAGGACAAAATGAAGTCAGCTAAAAGACAGAGGAAAGGAAATTTTCAGAAACGACTATATTTACTCCGCGCGTTTGGTTGATCGCGCATTCACTAAGATGGGATAAGATGGAGTAACAGCACAAGACAATCACAACACACGTACGTACGGGTATCCGAGCTCGAGGAAGTTGTTGAAGCACTGTTTGCCAATCATGATGATGGCCAGCTGTATGCACAACTCCGACAGGCAGCCCGCGGGGTCACAGATGTCGCCCTTTAACTTGAAAAATTCTGATTTTCTTGCTTGATCATCGCCTGGGTAATCGTAGAACCGGCCCTGGTGATAAAGTACTAATAAGTAATACTTGTTCCACTCTATAAATAATACAGAAGATTATTGTTGGTAATAAGGGTTAGTGGCTTAAATAATAGCAATATTCGTCATTCAGGGAGATCTCTAAATGATATGAGATTAGGAAAAAACAGATTATGATAATGCACACCACCACAGTACCATACCACAGCATTACAATAACCATGCCCAATTCTTGTTTCTCCAGAAATCAATAAAGATAGTTTATTCTTATAAATTTCGAAACTGAGTATGTATGTACCGTTCGTGCAGGTGGATGCGCATTCCATATTTTTATCCATAAAGGAAATCTACATTATCAGAAGGAGCAGATGGCTAACCTCTAGGAAAAAGGCATCCGTACCTTATAGACTTGAACAGCATCCCGTTGGCTTGCGCGAGGAGTATGGTGTCATTCCTCTGTACCTTGTAATTTTTCAGCCAAACCGTAACAAGATCACACAAAGTAGAATAACAGTACCTAAACGTCATTTTATACACATAAATCGTAATCCTCGAGTCAATAACAAGACAAATGTACAACAATTATTTTTATTTCAAGTCCAAAATCAGTAACTTTAGAGTAAATATAATGTGTCAAACCATTTTTAGAAGCTTAATATAGGAATAGAATACCTTGAAAAACGCAATGTAAATCAGCGAAGAATAGAAGTTCATAAACTCAAAGAAGAATATCTTGAACGTGTACGAGTCCTCATATTCAGTTTGCGTGCGAGGATTCTCCATATTTGTGAGATATACTGCCACTTTTGCGTATATCTGAAATGAGAATTAATTTATGTTAAAAGTTAGCATCAACTGTTGGCTATTACCTACATGAATAGCACAACATATTAGATAATTGATAGCACTATCGTCGTACATCAAATTCAAATTCAAATTCAAAAATCATTTATTCATGTAGGACATTTTAGCCGCTTATGAACGTCAAATTTTTACATTATAATTTTATTTTTTTCCCTACCGTCCAGTTCGGTATATAGATCCAATTGAGAAGAACTGGCAAGAAACTCAATTGAATTACTTTTTTTTTTTAAAGCCAGTTTATTTACAATGTATATTTATATAGGTGTCTATGTCTAACATTAAATGAAAATTCAGTGCATGAACAACTATTGCCATGCACACTCGTCATTCAAGTAATCGTTTAGTGAGTAATAGGCTTTGCTCAGTAAATATGATTTAACAGATGTTTTGAATTTATTTAAGGGTAATTCCAACATATCCTTTGGTATCTTATTGTAAATTTTTATACCTATTCCCATAAAAGACCTATTAACTTTTTCTAAACGATACTTGGGGACAGCAAGTTTGTCTTTAAATCTTGTATTAATATTATGAATATTGCTGTTTTTTGGAAATAAGGCAAGATTTTTATGAACATATAGGATATTTGAATATATAAATTGAGAAGCAACGGTGAGAATATTTGCCTCTTTGAATTTCTCTCTTAATGAGTCACGACTCTTCATACAGTAGATCGCTCGAACGGCACGTTTTTGTAATATGAATATATTTTTAATATCTGCCGCTTTTCCCCATAGTAATATTCCATAAGAGAGTAAACTATGAAAATAACTAAAATAGACTAATCTAGCAGTATCAGTATCAGTGTACTGTCTAACCTTACGCACGGCAAAAGCTGCCGAACTTAGTTTCGCTGCAAGGCTTTGAATTTGTGCACCCCATTGTGTTTTATTATCATCATCAGTAGTACCCGCATGCGTTGCCATTCCAGAGTACTAAGATTTAATTCCTCTTATCCTATAATTTCACTGCCTAATCGACACAGTTTATAAAGAAAGCTGCTTGGCGGCTAAAATAGACGCGACTGAGGTACGGACTTAGAAGAATTTATACAAAGTCTAATTCTACTTCTATACTGATAATTACTATTTCTTGTCTTTACCAAAACGTATCAATCATATTAACATAAAAGATGGTAGTTTCAGCAATTAAAGAAAACGGGATCCTCTTAAAATATTTAAATCTTATGAAACTTACCCTGGTAAGTATCATGATGATGGTCAAGTTAATAAGCGCAGCAGTCATGGCGGTGAAGATCTTGGCGTGCCTCTTCAGAAAGAATCCACTCCCACCATAAATAACTGACACCATAGATATACGGTAAATTATTGTGCCCAGTACAGCACCCATTACTATTGTAATCTGTGGAAATTAAACTTATTCTCAGTAAAATATAGCTTCCGTATGCCCACATTTCGTTAGTTATATTTGAATTTAACGAGGCAAAGGGTTAGTCTACTGCCGTCTTTTGGTATGTATAAATTTATATTGTAGTATATGCGGGAAAGAGAAAGAAGCATGTCATCTCTAATGCACACTGCTGGCGTCATGAGGCTATTAAGCTGTGTACGGCAAGTGAGAAGAGTGGTGTATGTCTGTGAGCCGATAATTACGAAGGCAAACACTACAGTTATTATTATATTATGTAAGTACCCATATTATTATATGATTACGATAAAAATGAAAAAAACTAACCATAAACAATACCGCTGAGCTGGTAGCTACATATCTCATGGTCTTTTGCCAAGCTGGTAAGAATGGCTCCTTCTCCCTGGTCACGGGGTTTGTTCTGAAGGTCTTCACTGACGTTTCAAACTCAGGACGTGGTTCTTCATCCTAAACGTATTATTGGCCAAGTTACATTAAAAAATAGTGGCTGCGAATTTATCATCGCCTACAGTTGTTTACGCCATGTAATATTTTATAAATAAATGAACTAATAATTATAGATGGCGTATTTATAAGATAAAAACCTAGTTTAGGCTCTTTGGGGAGGTGGGGGGTACGTCTCAGTCTTCTATATTAACTCATAACTAATTCCTCCAACCATTTTACATAGAGAAGCCTAGCACACAAACAGACAGTTTTCGTTTTATCGCGATTTTATTATGTACATACAAATAAATTAAAAAAATATATATTTATAAGTCATAATGAAGCAAGGAAAGAAGACCAAAAAAGATATAACCTGATCAACACCGCCGAGGTCCCACTCCCACCTTAGTATTGACTGTTTCCTTTTCCATAACTCCAAAAATGTGGTAGCTGGAACAATTATATACGTTCTAGAGTCTTTTAGTATGTAGCTATATTACTAGTTTTTTTTATGAATGAACAGGAATGATAGAATTAAAATAAATAAGATATGCTAAAACTTCTACTTCATAATAGCCAGTTACCAAAAGTTGTCTGATCCTTCAATGACAAAACTCTCAAGTTCTATTCTTTCTGCCTATCCCAATGACAGATATACCTAGTATATATCATCAATTTAAGATTATTATAAATATGTATTTTGCATTGTCTTCAGAATACATACCCCAAAAGGACATGAAGATAGCGAAGAAAACTGTAGCCGGGTTATCGAAGAGGTACGTCAGCTTGGCAAATAGGCAAGAGTCTGATAAACTCTGATACTGGCAGGCTTTGTCGCACAATGGACAGAGTGTGGTGTTTCCAGGACCCTTCAGATCACAGATTTCTTGACTAGAATAAGAAATAAAGAAGTATATAATAATAATTTTAGAAGTTATGTTAAGAAAATAGATTTAAATAATATTTGAAATAGTTTGCTTTTTAAGCAGTGTTCCGGTGTCAAAATATGGTATTGAAATTATACAGTAGGAACTCACATGCTCATACTGCTGTTCACGTGTTACCATCAGTGTTGCCAATCTTAAAGCACTTGTTTTCGTACGAAGAAATAAAAAAAATATACCGTATATCAGCTCAAATCGAATTTCTAACTTCCTCATCATAGAATTTTCATCCATTTACGTAGGCCAATATTTTGTACAAACTTGGATGAAAACATGATAAGAGGAAGAAAATATTCCATCCCGTACCCATGACCATACATCTCGTATTTATAACGAGGATCATTTACAGTTGATATCCCTGGCAGTCATAATAAGACGGTTTCGCAGCTTGAATGCTTATTCAAGTGAAACAAAAAACTAACCTTGGTATATTGTCTTCAGATTCCATACTGGCTAAGCCATACAGGAAACACAATGTACCAACAATAGCTGGGGCGTAAAGCATTTTCGTATAGAAGCCAAGCCAACAGAAGTAGAGTCCAATTTTGTCTCCGAAATACCGCCTGACTAGCCAAAGAGGTTGCTTCTTGTACCATTTGGCAGGACGGGCCCACTCTAAGTATAAGAGCTGGAAAGATACGAAGTTAGATTTGTATAAATTTTTACGTACATGAAAAGGGGTAAAATATATTCGACGCCGAAAACTAGGCATGACACTTCACAACTTTCATCTGAAGTATATAAAATAATATAAAATTAAATTTTCAACTAAATTGATAAGTTGACCGTGCAGGTTAAAGTTAATTTTGTTTAAAAAAGCGAATATAAATAAAGTAATTATGCTGAGGTATTCTTTGACTGCCAATATTGTACTGCCAATTACACTTGCGATGCGTTTTATAACATTTCGTTGTGAATATTTAAATTCAACATGCTGTGACTGACTGGCAGAAGAACCTAATCCTCTAAATTAATTAATTAATTTCTCTATAGTGTTTATATCTCTGGAGAGAATCGACAATATGGGTTGTCACAAAGTAATTATTTTCTTGTTTTTTTTTGCCAAATTAGTGTTGCAGATGACCCGACCGGACCGATGAGGTAATGTATATGACAGCATATGGGACAAAGTACTCAATAAATCAATGTTTTATCGAAGACAATTCTAAAGAAAACATGTATATAAAGACCTGCATTAATCATACAGGTTTGATTCGAGCAATAAATGTGTATTTAGTTCTTTTACCGTCTTCTATTAGATATTAAAAGACCTTTCTAACTTACTCTTCTATCTGTAACCGTTCCGTCAGTTAAATCAACGTCATATCTGCCCTCGTGGAGAGGAAAGCAAGCCGAATACGTGCCGTCATTCAGCAAACGACGTATACCCATCTGTAATAATTATAATAACATAATTTATTATTGCAAAAAGTCATATTTTTTATACTGCGATAATCGCAGTAATAAAAGCATAGAGCCCAACTGATGGTAAAAGTAGCTAATGGCTACAGTAAACATGCGAATACTCGAAATATATAATACGAAAACTCCAGGGGTGTCATGAGCGCCTACCTTCTGCATGGGTACCTCAGTCTAACCTTTTGCAGATGTCAAGCACCTTGCTATATTTATGTAATTTAATTATAATTGTAAATTATACATTTTACGTTTCTATTCAATGTTAATTTTACTCCATTACTTGCAGGTTGCGATCTAAATCGTGTCTTTCACTTCAGTAATATTGTGAAGGTTCGAATCTATATAAAGACCAATTCGACTATTGTTACAATTAAATGCAGAAAATGAGTAAGAATCTTTAATTACGCTATTGAAAACGACAATTGCAGTTTACCTTTGTTTCTGTGTTGTCATATCTGGCTCTTAATAATATTTGCATAACTAATAAACTTCTTTGAGCTGGCGAGAACTGTGTATGGCGATCTTTTACTAGGAACCTGGAATAAATTATAAAATAAATCCAATATGTTCGAAGATTCACGATTGTCATTTCGGATAATGTAGTCAGAGTTACTTGTCAAAGCCGTGGTAAATAATAATGCATCACTTAACATACGCACATTTCGCTTGGTAATTTGGTATTAATTTGGAAAACAGAGTCAGTTTTCCAAATTAATACCAAATTGCCAAGCTAAATTATATAGGCGCAGTAACTATTTCCAACAATTTTCTATTGCCAATGTTGGAAATAGTTATTGCTATGGGTAAGTCACTAATAAATTGACTCACAATGTATTTTGGTTAGATTTGAACGCATAACCTTTCGGATTAAATAAGGTTAGTAAACCAGAGAGTCACGATAACCTCAATTTATTCCTTTAAATATACTTTAACTTACTGTTCTTCTCTTCTAATTCCTTTCTGTTCTGTGGCATCGTAAAATGAAGGTTCAGGTTCGATTCTACTGTGCTCATATTCATATAGCTGTTTCCATCGTCGTCTCCATTTTGAATACCATTTTTTATCTCTCTCAGCTTGTTTCTCGTCGCTCTGTTGACGAGACATTGAAAATGAAATCTTCACAAGTATTATTAAAATTTTAATATTTTTTTCTAACTAAATTCTAATTCTGTTGTCCAGTTGGCCTTTACAGCTACATCGAACGATATGAGGCGAGTGCAGATGGCACTTATAACCCACGGAATGACATATGTAACCGGCAGAAGGCTGACTCCTACCTGACAAATACGACTTTCAAACCCCTAACAAATACGTCTTTATTCTGAATTCGACTTTAGTCTGAAGAATACGTCTTTATTCTGAATTCGACTTTAGTCTGAACTGAAGGCACGTCTTCAGACTAAAGTCGAATTCAGAATAAAGACGTATTTGTTAGGGGTTTGAATCTCAGCTCAGAGCGTCACAGTTTCAATCCCCGTTTGAATTGGACGGAGGATACCTCGGGTAATATTGTAATAATGTCAAATCTGTTTATGAGTAATTCTCTTTATAAAGAGTACTAAAACGAAGGAGTGTATAAAATCCAAAGTAAAGTAATACACAAGCAAAGATTTACACATAAGTTAATATAAGATACAATAAAACTTAAAATATTACGATACCTACCCAAGCTCTGACTGATATCGAGATAAAACGTTTTGTAGGTAGTTTCATTCCTATTACTTCCGCTAATCTCATTTCACACTTCCATGGTATATGAATCTTCAAAAACCATGTTTTCTCATCAAACGATAGGCATTTATTTTCTAATTCTAGTTCCAAGCCTTCTTTTATAAGATTCTCCTAAAAGTATAAAGAGTCATTAATCAATTATTATTTTGAGGTCCCAGTATTGTACCCTGGGAAAAATCATTAATTATAAAATCGTACCACATTCAGAGTTGAAATAATAATTTATTCACAGGGGACATTTTTTATTGTTTTGTTATTTTTTATGTTTAACATTTATAATTTTTTTTAAGATATACAGTCATCTCTACCTGGAATGTCTTTCTGTGCTCTCTCCTTTTGGCTTCAGCTTCAGTCATAACTCCATAGTCTTCTTCCTCATAAGCCAGTACCATATCTATTCTTCGACGCCCGTCTCGGAATAACAGAGATTCTGGATCAAGCCCCTATAATGTTTCAATTATAATATATTCATTAGCCTTAATGTAAAATTATATCATCATTGTCATTATTACATAATATAAAACAAAATCGCTGTCACTGTCTGTCCCTATGTATGCTTAAATCTTTAATTATTGTATTGTAACAATTTTATTATTTTTATATTTTTAATCGACATATCAAGCCTTATTTTTAAAATTTTTCATTTTGCACATTAATATTTTATTTACCTCAGGACTCATTTCACCAATATTTTCCTCTTTCTCATTTGTATAATTAGGCAGTGATGGTTTTCTATCATCTTTGGCTGTATAATTTGATGCCTTGCTCTCTGACTTTGGCTGTAAACGAAAATTTATTTTAAATAAATAATTTCTTAAATATCTTAACGTGAGTGTCAATTTTTGCACATATAATATTAGAACCAAAACTATGCATTATAATTGTTTATATTCATATGTTATTTAGACGATGCATATATTTTTTACAAAAAAATATAAAACTCTAAATCTACTTATTTGTACATATATCTTTCATCCTCTGCTTCTCCCTTATGCCATGTAAACGAACCAATTCTCTAGTTGTTTTACCTACAATAACAAGATTTAACAATGTGATGTTAACTACGTAAACCAAAACAAATTTCAATTACCGTGCAAAATTACCTTTATTATCGGCAAAGAATACAACACAAGCGAAAATTATTACTATTGGCGAAACTTATTATTAAATGGCATAGGACAATTCAATATGATCAGTAACATGTGAAATTACACTGTTAATCTTCCTAAAACTAATATATAAAATAATAATAAAATCAATACTGATGATGTGCGTAATTAAATAAGCATTAGAACCTGAAAGTCAGGCAAAGGGGTGCCAGGAAGAGCTGGAGCGGTAGCAGTCTCCTTGCACTTGGGGGAGAAGGCTATAGCGACAGATGTCACGTTTCTGACAAACCTCCAGCCCTTGCGAGATGTGTGTTCCTCTGAACTATCCGAATGTTCCGATTTAATATCTTCTCGAAGATGTACCTGAACGGAATTTGGAATTTAGAGGTGTGTAATTAAAGTTGTTTTCGGTCAAATGAGTAAAATTTCGAATATAATAAGAAACCAATAATATCGCGTAACAATTATTATTATTGCCTGCCATTCGTTATTCTCCATTAAACGTTTAACGTGCTCCTATTTCTTTGTATATGAATAGGTAAGTATATATGTAACATTTCATTGAAAGAAAGAAACTACGGTTGGTAGTCATGTAATTATGATTATGAAGTATATAATAAATACAAGTTATTTATTTTATTTTGATGTCTTGTTTTTATTATTTATATATTTTACTGTTTAGCAGAAAGTTGTAACATTGAATAGTGCAATATGTGTTGGGGGATTTCACTAAAATGTGTAAGATTTGCATAATATCCTAAAATATCTAATATATGTAAAAAATTGCATTTTATTTGTTGCGTCATTTATTCAAATAATATTCTAACAGAAAATACAAAATATAAATATTTGTTTTAATTAAATGCATCGGTAGTAGTAGGCATTTCTAATCGTGACTATAACCACAGATAACATAATATCCATAACGAATACACGAACAAGTAATATAAAATATTGATTCGTAGATCGTTAAGGAGTACAAAAGCAGAATGCATTTCTTTAATATAAATGGGTTTACGGTTGGTTTACCGCATCCGGGTTTACCGGTGGAAAATGATGGCAAGACCTAGGATGCGCTCTTACACAGAAGAAATCTATTCACCATAGACTTGAAGAGTCCTGGGATATAGATATATTGATTTTATAGAGAAAATAAAGTATTTGTAAGTAAGTAGTGTGTGTAATTAAGTAAGTATGTAAGTAAGTATTTGTTTGTTTATCTATAGAAAATATTTTCGATAACTTATAGGCGACAATAACTTATAGACAATTAGTGCATCTAAAGATTATTTCATTACGTAGTTAGGTACATCTAACTCTGAGCATTACAGGCTCTATTTGTTATTGACTACAAGCATGTGAATCCATCTGGGCTAACTAAAAGCAAGGTACACAAATCATGCTATCATTCTACGACAAGAACAAGGTACATATTTCGTATTAGTATTTACAGATCTGCGTATTAAATATCATATCATCATTGTATTTGACAGCAAAATAAATATATATATATTTACTAAATAATAACTTAAATCGTAAAAGGTGGGTCTCATGCGAAAAAATGATTTTGTTTAAATGACCAAATGGATTATTTTGTACAATTGTATTTTTTTTTAATTTAGTAAATGAATGCTGATCACAAATACTTCTTTTGATATTTTGCTCTCTTTATTCAATGATTTTTATTTAAACTATTCTAACATCAAACTACTCAGAACATTAAGCAACTAATACACAAATGGCTATAGAAATTAGTACCTTTTTCTCACCCGTATCTCTTATAGGAACACTCTGAAAACATCAGTCTTTAATTTTTATTTGGAAATATCTGGTGGTATAATATTACTTGAGTTACTCATTTCTATTAAAATAGCAACATATGCTATATTGTGTTACGGTCTGAAGAGTAAGATAGTGCAATCTTTAATATAAAAACTATAATCTTCATTAACAGTGACAATGGGATGTTATGTATAGTTATTACTTCTTTTGCTATATTAAAATTAGATCAGACGACTTTTTTTTAAAATTAAAGTTTATACTTCAACATATACCAACCTTATTAGCCGGACTTTCCATAATATCAGCCAGGGATGTACCAAAGGCAGCGTCTGGAGTGAGACTGTCTGCTGACTTCCACAGTGCACGAGGATGTAATGGAGTTCCTGGTAATGCAGACTCGTGACTCTTACGACGGGTTTTGGTCTGATGGAAAAATAAATTAACTTCTTACAGTACAAACGGAAAATTAAATACAAAATAAACGGATTTCAAAGTAGTCTAAGCTTAGGAATTTTTAAAAAGCCATTAAGCTATTAAGCATACCTGAAATGGTTCCGTTATTTTATAGCAACAGGGACGTAGAATAATAATAAGAATGCTTGTCTAATCGATATAAACTACAAGTTAATGCTTTTTAAGGTAAATGGAGGGTCAGTTCCAAGGAATTTGCCGAGCATGGTTTTGTTTTAACTTGGAATTCTTACCTGATCATCGGTAGCGCTATCAGATAAACTAAGTTCAGTTCTGGTAGTTGATGTTGAGCTGCTTAATTCGTTCCATACATTATGATTAGTTACACTGGCTGTAGGTGGTTCTGAAGACGTTCCATCTGTTAATGTATACGAGAATATTATTATGGCCTCGGTGGTGTAACGATTTAGCACACCGCGGGTTCGATTCCTCGCACGATACAAACATGTACACACGAGTGTGATTGTTTGTATCCTTCTGGGTGTTTTCTGTATACATTATGTATGTTATTACAGAAAAAATTTAAGTATATATTTGTATTAGTTGTCTAGCACCTATAACACTAGCTTTGCTTAACTTGAGTCTATATGGCGTCGTGTGAATTGTTTTGAGATATTATTATTTAATTAAAATCTGTCACACGATTAATATTTATACAATTTGGGCTCTTGATGTTGTCTTGTTATTAATAACTTCATAATTCATTTCTTCAGACTTCTTAAAACACTAATTACTAAATAAACACCATATAGGGAATCAAATTTTGTCGTTGCACTTCCAAGTTTCTGGAAATTACGACGTTTTATGTAGAATATTATATTGTTTACTTCAAATTTTAAGTTAAGGAGGCCTAATTATTCGATTGGATTGGAGAGGTCTAATTATCTATTCTATATGTTCTCTATTTACATTTGTTACAAGAACAGGCTGTTAGAAATTTTACTGATAGCTTAGAAGTATGTTTTTATGATTAGTTCGATATTAACTGCCTATTAGGATACAATTTGAAAAAACAAATTAGAATATTTACATATATATACCTTTTCTAAAAACTTCTTTTTTTGCTCTTCCGCCATCATCGCTGTTTCTTCTAGAAGATGCCTCGCTGTGGCTAGATTTTAACCTTTCACTTTCAAAAGTGACTCTGTCCAACACACTCTGATGGCTCTCAAGATTTTGTGTATCATTTTGTCTCATTTTCTCCAATGCGGATGGTAGTTTCTCCAGTGTTCTAGGAGCTCTTTGGTTGAGTCGAGCAACAACCTTTTTAACGGTAATTTCTTCTGAGTAGCCATTTTCCATCGTTTATACTGGAAATTAAAATAATTGTCATTTTAAAAATAAACTATTTTCATTGTTACTTATTATTCTTTATGATCATGACTTGAATTAGCCATTGAAGATTATTAGAATTTGCTTAAATAAACTATAATGTATGTTAATTTTGATTACTTAAAAACTTAGAAAATTATTATAGGTAAACTTTAATGATATTATATTAAAAAAAGATTCAGAATTGGCATTAAATTAGATTAAAAGAAATAAAATCTGGGAAAATAAACCCAATGATATAAATAATAGTGAATTTAAGAATAATTTTCTTTTATGTAGTCGGTTAGGAAACATCGCAGAGAAGATATTGACCATCATGTTGAAATTACCAAGTAAGTTAGTCGCGAAGTGATAATAGGTGGAACTGTGATCGATTCAAAATAATTATAAGTCTGATAGAGGACACCACGACGTTTTTCGATCCATTATTACATGTTATTTTCTTTATTCGCTTTTATCATCAAAGCATCAATGTCCATTTGCAGTAAGTGTATACATGTAAATGAGACTTTACTGCATATTTTTTAAATCGGTAATAATGGAATGGTGCATCCGCCTCTACTAACTAAGGATGAGTATAAAGTCATATAATTTGGTTGGTTTTAACGGTTTCTAGAAAATATGTATTTTATTCCGCGATACGCTATTATTTTATTTTAGAAAAATATGCTATTTCTAGGATGGTTAGATACCACGAATAAAACTCGAATCGAATATAAATAAAATCAATTAAATTTCTACATCAATTCGAATTCAGACTTTTTATATGAAGACGATTTAAAAGTGCTTGTAGTCTGAACTCTAGTATGTAATATGAAATGAATATTCTTTCTTTTCATCTCGCAGAAAAAACCTGGACAAATGTATAATAATATTATATAACTTAATGAGTATCGTTTTTCATACGAGTGAAATAGCAAATAAGCTACCACAATGGAAACTACTAATCGGCACTTACAAACATGAACAGTAGGTACAATCATCACGAAATACTTTCGTGACGTCCTTGTCTTTATAAATCATCAATGTATCCTACACGTAGTTGCTCACGTAACGTGGTAGGCCCAACAAACAAACGTCATTAAACAACCGTGTCACACATTCATAACAAATATAACAGATCTACAGTGTACAGTCCACACAATCGATAATCCATTTAATAATTCAGAACAACGGCGTGTGATCGGACAAATGTGATGGTTATTACTTTGTAGGCACTCGTAATTGATGAAAAACAATTTGAGATCGGTGAAAATTAGTGTTACAGTTTTATTCTGTCACCTGTATGAACAAACAACGTGACAAACGATGGATAGATAAGTTCTGGCACGCATGAGAAAGAACAAGACACCAACACCATTACTATCTCGTTCTATTTATGGATGCAGTAACGAAAACCTATCCAATGATAGATTCGTTTAGTATAACTGTACGGATTTAAATAGTTTTTTTATTATTCACATTTGTTTATACATATATGTTTACAGAAATTTTTGTTAGTTATTATTGTAATTATTGAACAATAACTGTTATATAACTACAGTTTTTTTTGTACATGATAATGGAATGGTGCACCTGCCTGCACTAGTGATTTACGATGGCGGGGCACCAGTGGAGGATGATTAGATGAACATGAAGGCAGGTCAGTTAGCCCATCGTGACTAATTCACAAGTAATTTATCTATATATACATAGTATATGGTACATTGCTAGCAATGGGGTCAACAGTCTACATTACTAACATTCCCCTTTCCCCCAATACATCACACTTGTATAACCGCAAAGAACAATACTGATCTTAAAACAGAAATATCGAAGCCATTCTTTTGCAACCTATTTCAAAAGCAGTGTTTAAACACAAAATATAAGGATGAGTTTAAGAAACGCCACTTTTTTTTAATTGGGGGCGTAAAGACCTTGTAGTAGGGGTAGTAAACGTTATAAGGAATATCTATAGGTACTCATCTGTTATTCGATAATGACAACATTTATATGTTATATGTTAGATAATATCTAGATTTATAAATCGCACATGTGGTATCGGGATAAATCCTAGATCTAAGATATACACAGAACAACGAAGTAATTAAAAAAAAATAACTGAGGAAATTACTTTGGACATCACTAACGCTTACACACACACACATAATTGTGTGTAAAGAGCCATTAAACCTAATACACACACACACATAATTCATAGTGTAAAGAGCCATTAAACCTAAAAGAAATACGATGTCAACTAAACGTTATTGACTGTTAAATTGTTATATTACGAATGCAGTAAAGCGAATAATTCATTTCAAAATTATGACATTCGACGTTTTTGTTAAAGTACCATTCACTAGTTTATGATACGTCACACTAATATAACATAACACAAGCTTGGGTCTAGATGGCGCTGTGTGAATTATTTACTATTAATAGCAATCTCAGGACAATTCACACAGCGCCATCTAGACCCAAGCTTGTGTTATGGATGCTGGATAACTGATACAAATACATAGATATATATTTTTTTCGTAACTAAATACATATTATACATAGAAAACACCCAGACCGATAAAAACAATCATACTCATGAATACAAATGACTGTGCCGTGCGAGGAATCGAACCCGCGACCATCGGAAATAAGGCGGTGTGATAAACCGCTAGACCGTCGGGGCCGTCAACACACAATCACACACACGGCACACTAATAAATGCTACTGATATTTGGGGATGTTGATGTATGATAGATTCACAAGGTAAGTTTGTCGTTTAATATTTCGAAATGGGGATATTTGTATATTTTTACATGCAGAAATACATTTAAAATACTTTTAAAAACAGTCACTACTCTTAAAAGCACAATTATTATGCATACTTTATATAACCCTTAGCATAGTTCGTCAGTAATAATTCAATATTTTTCCAATCCTTTGTGTAATCTTGGTATTATTGAATAAGTATTATATTATTGAAAAACAAATGAGGCAAGATAAATTAATTAATTAAAAAAAGAAAAAAATAGTATACGTTATTTGACATATTAGGCCCAGGATATTTCCCGGCAACCCGAATCTGACCGACACCAAAAACATTACGTCAATTTATATTGCAAACTCGCTATTGACGGGTACTCTATCAAGCCAAAAGCCAAATTAATACCCAATACAGCGATGTGGGTATATCAAACGATGAAGTCTCCATGACAGCGACTCCTAGTTAACAATGCCAAGACCTCTGTTACTCCGAATGAGTAAAGAGTGAAGAAGATATAATAATATTATTATTTCGCAAATATATTAATAAATAAATATTTACGCAAGCTGCGGCAAGCGCGGCTCATAAACTTATTAGTCCACAGAGTAACACGTAGTTCACGTAGTACCTGTGCTGTGGTCACAAGGACATCGTTTACGATGTCCTTGTGACCACAGCACCTCACAAACTCTACAGTAACCCAGGCTATATAGTAAATTATATATCATTATTATTATATAGTATAAAATAAAGTCGCAGACTGTCCCTATGTATGCTTACATCTTTAAAAATACGCAACGGATTTTGAAGCGGTTTTTTAATAGATAGAGTAATTCTAGAGGAAGGTTTATATATATAATACATATACACCCGTGCCAAGCCGGGGCGAGTAGTTAGTATATTATATAATGATAAACGTCAAGTAAGTATGATCCAGACGAAGTAGCGCAGATCAGCTAATACAATATAAATTTAGCGCACAAATCTGCACAAGCAATTCTTTGACGGAAACATCAACAGAATATATTTAAATTTACGCACGTTTAAATAAATATTAGAATATTTCTAAGTAGGTCTTTTCAGTGTATGAAATAATCTTTCACTTCAAAGAGTGTTTGATGTTTAGTAAACACAATTTATAGATAGGATGTACTACAAATAAAGTATCTATTTGAAAGTGCTTGAGTGAAGTTGAATGACGAAAATTGTATCGCTATTATATTTTTAACAGACGTAGACTGTGAGTAGTCTACACTCATAACGATCATTGAAATATCCCAGTCTCGTGACTTCAACCGCCCAGCAGCTTGCTTTGTTCGTTGTATTTTCATTGTAGGGTGCAGATTAATCACTGAAATTACTGGATAACAGGCATGACATCTCAATCGTCTGAAATGGTTACTCATAAATGCTATCTAAGGTGTCAAATGATAATGTGATGTTCGTAGTATACATGTTGGTGATGCTTACCGCTTACCAACCAGTAGGCCGGTAATTCTTTTGTAATATCATAAATAATTTGTAGCTTTCCCTGAGACTATACCTGAGATATGAAAGATATGTGAAAAAAATCCTATTAGTATTTCCAATGTGTGATCTGTCTATATGTAAAGGAACTAATAAAAATCTCGACATACCTCATTATATCTAGAATAATTGCCTCTACCGATTCTATAGAAATAGAAATAACCTTTATTCATTGTACGTATTACATTGTAATTGTTTTACTACAAATTTTATTGTAATTATTATTGCACACGACCAGACGCAAATTTAATCACCACTCTCATCCAAATGTTGCCTAGAAGAGATCGCTATTTAACGATAAGGCCACCCATATCTGCCTAGTAATAATATAGTTTTTTCCTTTTTGTACCTACACATAAGTAACTGTATTTTTTGAGAGAGGAACAAGAAATAGTATTTGATTTTCTTTAATTAATTACGTAATCATTATTCAAGTAAACATTTATTTACTTACCTCTCATTCGGAATTTAGTTTCAGCAAAAGAAGAAGAAGATTAAGGGAGAAACTTACATCTATATAGTCACAGAACCACTACACTCTTTTAATCAAATGTTGTACTTACAACTAATTTTGATCAAATATGTAAATATTTGATCAAAGTTATTAAATAATTAGTTTAGTTTTTAGGCGTACAAAATAGCACTAAATATAGGTAGTATATGATAAGGGACTACGAATATGTATTGTCTTTGTATAACTAAAATGA